TTTCCCGAAAGCATGAACAGGTTCGACGACACTGTTACTTTAGCCTTTCTATTGTTGTGTCGTCGTGGCTATTATCTTTTTGTGTTCACTTTAGAGGTTTTGTTTTGATATGACTTATGGTTTAGCTTTTGAAAAATTAAATATCGAAAAGTACCTTAGTATTGGAGCTTTAAAACTTATATGCTTCGACTATCTTTCAAAGCAAAATTAAAAATATTTTTAGTTTTCGCAAAGCTCAATTTAAATTATTTGTAATATTCGAGTACTAAAAAGTATTTCGTGAATGAAATAATAATATTTTGCAACCGCGCGAAGTGCGGTCAAATTAACTAGTTTGGTTATAAATGAAGGTGAGTCCTTCTGGTGAGGGGGTTGAATATATAATGGATATCAGTCCGATTATTCATATCCTAGGAGAACCAAGACTAAAAAGGCTAAGCAAGTTAACGCCTTAGCATGATTCTGAAGTGCAAATACAAGTGACAGAAAAGAAAAGGAAATTAAATTAATCAATCTCAAACTCAAAAAAAGCTTGCCTTAATTTCTGAACGCTATTATAAATGTTACATATCGAAGTCATCATAATTTTGGCGTTCTCTCTGAGAATTCTGTGTGACAGCTAATGCCTTTGCACTTGAAAGCAGAAGATATAATTTAGAGCCCGTTTGGACATAGAAATTTTTTCCTTTTTTTCAAAAAAATTTCAGTTTTTTTTCGAAATTATCGTTTGTTCATAAAATTTTCAATTTTCACTTGAAAATACATTTTGGAAATTTTTGAAAATTTGAAAAACTCCAAAAAATTGTTTTTCAAAATTTTCACTCACAAAACTTCAAAATAACCCAAAATTATATTCATGTCCAAATACAACTCTAAATTTCAAATACCATTTTCACTTGAAAAAAATTTTCACCTGTTTTAAAATTTTACAATTCTTATGTCCAAACGCCCAATTAAAGATATATCCTTTAAAATCACAAAATGCAACTGCAAACTCTTCTTTCTTAGGCCCCACCTGGTAAGTACTTGACTGACGAGTAAAACAATTGGAGAAGAAGAAAAGAAGAGGAAGACAAAGACATCAATATTGGTGAAGGTGAATGACGTTAATATGTAGAAATTTTTTGTATGTCATATCTTCCAGCTCTGTGTGGTTGTTCATTTCATTGACTATAAAATCTGAGAATTTTGTTGCAAAACGCTATAGGATTGTGATATTAATTTAATTTATCTAGTTTAGTGATCAGTACTATGCATGTTTATTTTAAAATGGAAACAAATTGTTTATATGATTATCCATTATTCATTGTCGAGTAATCATTCGCGACAAAGGCAGTATACAGATGGGGACTATATGCAAATTTTATACAACTCGTAGCATATGTTAGTTTTGAAATAATATTTCCCCACTTTAAACAAATATAAAAAAAAAAATTACGTTCTCTGATCAAGTCCAAAGTATTAGTCGTTTTGGCAAATTGAATTTGTGATTTAAATGGTTGATGTTTTAAAAAAAAGAAAAAAAAAATGATCTATCACTTTTTCCCCCCAAATCACACTTACTTTTCCCAGTTCTTTATACTTGCACTTAATCTTAATAGCACTGATTCAAATCACTCTTAGACATTCAAAACTCCTTTATTATTAAGATGTGGTGGATGTTTAGGACTAATCAAAGTCTTCATTGAAGGAGACATTGCCAATAAATTTGGAAATACTTTTCAAGCGCCATAGGAATTAAACTGGATACTAATCACTTTAGGTCTCTTTTGTGGAGATGATGGGCCACCAAACTAACAACTCTATGCGTGAAACCATTTGCAACATCCTTCCTACCTTCATCACATGGGAATTGTAGAAGAGGAGGAATGCAGTGAGGTATGGTCAGACTACTATTCATGTATATAGAATCATTCAACAGGTAGTATTTAGTATTAGGGATATTGTAGATATGCCCTAGATCCAATATCATATTTGATGTTTTGAACATATTTTTATAAAATATATATGGCATTTGATATTCTTTTATTATTGTTATTAATTGCTTGATTAATTTGATAAGGTCCTTGATTAAATTTTGAGACTTGACATTGTGATGGAGATCATGATAATGAGAGTAAAGTTTCTTATAATTTAATCTAAATTTGTTCTTGATCGTAGGATTATTAATTTGGACATTAGTAATCCGATTAGATCAATATTTATGTGATCGTCTTTATGGGATAAAGATTAGTTGATCTCATTAACTAAATTACATAGATAGATGATGCATATAG